ATTGCTATCCCCTTTACCATGACACACCGTTAGTGGCCTAAAGTTAGCCCAATTTGAGCTTGGGTTTGGTTTAGGTCTAGTCCACTTTAGACCTAAAGGACCCACAATTGGACCCCATCCAATTGAGGTCAAGTCTGAGTTCTAGTCAGATTTGGCTTAGCTCATGTCAAACAAAAACCCTAAACATTTTAGTTTCAACCTAAATAAGAACTAAACCCTAAACCTTTTAGTTCTAACTTAAATTAAACCTAAACCCTAAATAAACCTTTTAGGTCCAACCTAAATTAGATCTAAACCCCAAACCTTTTAGTTCTAACCTAAATTTGACCTAAATCCTAAATAAACCTTTTAGTTCTAACCTAAGTTAGACAGACATAAACCTATGCATTTAGGTAAAACCCACATAAGACCTAACTTAAACCATAGGCCTAACCCACATTAGACCAAACCCTAAACTTTAGGTCTAACCCACATTATACCTAACATAAACCCTAGGTCTAATGCACATTATATCTAACCCTAAACTTTAGGTCTAATCCACATTAGACCAAACCTAAACCCACGATTTAACCTAAATTATACTAGGGCTATCAAAACAGCTCGTTGTTCGCGAGCAGCTCGTGTTCGGCTTGTTCACTAAGTTGACGAGAACAAATATTTGTTTGTTCATGTTCGGCTTGTTTTGACCCATTTAAATAGAATCACCTGGTCAACCTGGCCTAACTTGGGTTAACCCAATTAAGCTAGACCAACGTGTCAACCTAAACTAGCTCAGTTTAACCCAATTCAGTTAAATCAACGAGTCAACTTGACCTAACTCGTCTTAACCTAATTCAACTGAATCATCGGGTTAACTTGACCTAACTTGGGTTAACCCAAGTTAAATGAACCACTAGATTAACCCAACCTAACCAAGGTTAACCTAAGTTAACCTTCCCCGGGTCAATCAGACTTAACTCGTATCGACCTGACTTGAGACTCAACTTCGAGCTTAGCTTAAGTCTGAGACCAAGGAGAATCAAGGATTGATTTAAGCCTAACCCAAGTTAGACTTAAAAGACAACTCGAGTCTAAATTAACTTATCATCCAAGTCTAATTTAACATGAGCCTACCTTCACACTAGCCAACTCTTATGATAAAAATTCACTAAATCTGAGAATTTCCAGCAAACCTCACTTTTCCAAAATGAAGAACTTTCTTATAACCAAAGTACTCTCTTTCCTGGGCACGTACAACCAAAACTAAATTCAATATTTTTTACTCAACCAACAGACATAGATAAAGAAAAATATACAATATTTTATAAATAATTTTTGCAGCACAATGACATAACAATAATTTGAGTTGAATTTATAAAGTGTTGATAATCACCTCTCAAATTGCAAATGAAATATAAATTTTCTTCATTATAATATAAATTTATATTATGGCTTATATAAATAATTTTATTATGATTTAAGTTGAAAGAATTAAACTCACTAACTTTAAAGATAATTTTTTAATATTTATATGTTTAGAAAGTATATTTATAATAAAATATGATAATTTTCTTGCTAATTTTATGGATGAAAAAATTTATTTATACAAAACTTAATTTATGATGCTAAGAAAGTAATTCATACAAAATTAATGATTTCTAGAAAATATAAATGATGAAATATATAGAGTACTTGGAATGAAAATATGGACTTTTCTCCTTAAAGTTTTTGTTTGAAAATTTACAAAAAATTAAATTTTAATTCTGAGTAGATTATGCAACATATCAAATTGCATCTATAGAAGCCAATAAATCCATTGGACTAAATAGAAAATTATGAGTATGAGAAGGTAAGAAGATATTGATAGAATAATAAATTCTATTTCTTTTTATGTTAATTTTTAAATATCATAAATCATAATTAAAATTTAAATAATTTATTTAAGGACTCATAAAAATTTCAAATATAATAATATAAAATAGAATTTAAATATTTAACATTCCATTTATATTATTTTCGTGAATTTAGTTTTAAGTTGGAAGTATTCAAGAAAAAAATTTAATTATGAAAAATATTATTAAATATTAGAATATATTAATCTCTAATTTAATTTTATTATTCTTAATTAGTGATTAATCAAGTAAATTTATTTGTTTGTGACCAAAAAATAAACCATGCAAAAAAATTCCTATTACCTTATGTAATGAACTCCAAACCATCCATCTTGATCCATCTTTGATTCATCTATACTCAAATTTTGATTCAATTTCTAGTTTGCACATCCATAAAATCAATACATCTTAAATACTTAATCCATACATTAGATCATCCAAGCAAACATTTCTTATTTTTAATATTAATAAAATAAATCATAATACTCATAAATCCAATTGTGCTTACATCGACACATAATATATTTGACAAGGCAATTTTTTCCTGACATGTATACAAACAGCCCCTAAAACACAAGTTAATATTTATAAAAAGGTGTTTATGTATTCTTTTTAAATTTTTGTGCTAACCAAGGGCTCATTTGGTGCAGCTTATAAGTGCGGGAGCGTTTTGGAAAACACCGCGGTACCGTTTAGATCGCACGTTTTGCCAGCTTATTCGAAGACGCAGATCCTTTTTTACACTAAACGCAAGTGCCGTGAGTCGCGTTTCATGATAAGTTGTTTATCCTGAAACGCACAAACTGCCCCAAATGCACCCTAAATTTTAAGATTTTACATAGCTATGTACATCAATGTTCTTGAAAATTCTATTAAATTTTGTTATTGTCCATAGATGTATATTACCCTCTAAACTCAAACAAAAGATTCTACACAATAAAGCAATTATGTTTTTTATTAAGTATTTTTTAAAGTTAAATCAATTGTTGTAGTGTTATACACTAGCACACAAGTTCTTAGGCAAAGTTTTTTCAATTAGTCAATTTATTACATGTGACCAATCCTATTAAATTTTTTTCAAGACTTCAGACCACATAAGATGGAATAATTTACATTCAAATGCTTCAACACTGGTGGGCACAACTTATGAATGCTCTTATTTATACAACTAGTGCATAACTTTAAAATTATTTTACATGGTTGGATACACTGTGTAAATAAAGTAAATACAAGAATAAACTGAATAAATGAAAACACTAAGTAGTTACATGAAACTCAAAATATCATGTAAACATGTGATTAAAGATTTTTTATGCTCCATTAAACTAAATTTAAATGAGATTTTGGGATGACCCATATTTTTTCACTTCCAGGAGAAAGAAGATGAATGGAGATTTACTAGCGCTCAGGAGTCTTATGAATGATACTTTGGTTACTATGGGTAATGGTCAACACCTTACCAATCTGCTAGTTAGATCACTACCGAGAACTAGAGCCATAGGCAAGACTAGATTGGGATGACCCACATTTTTTCAAAACTCGGGTGATTTTTGGGTTTCTTTATATTTTTATATGTACCCATCTTTTACATTTTTTTTGTGTGTGTTGTACCGTGTGGGTTGGGTGTTTAGGCTCACCCATACAAACCTATCTGTATCTTTATCTTTAATATATCAGCCATTGGGCTTTAAGAAAAAAAAAACTAAATTCAGATGAGATATATTGGAGAAGTTTTCAATTTTAAGAAAATAGGTATTGGAGTGAGATTTTGAAATGATCAAGGGAAAAAAAAATTGTAGAAAATCCAAAATTTTCAACCAATGTAAGATACCACCTATTTCTTATGTATTTTCCTAATTAACTGCTAATTGAGAGCAAGCAGTGTTGGTGACCATGCAACAGAAGTTGCTTACCCACTCATTTGGCTTCTAAATCTAGAAATAGTTTCATCATTTATTTAGTTATTTTACTTATTTACTATATTATAATGTATATAATGTATAAACTATAACATAATATCATTTAAGATGGAATGATATAAACATGAGTTATTTTGGCCAAATGAGAATGTGAAGAAAATTTTACAAAACTAAATTGCTTTCAATTTTAAACTGTATTTAGAAAGTTACAACAGTGCTTACAACTATATTCTGAGACATTTATGGTCATATGAATTATATTGAAGAAATGCATATAACTCTTATGTGTTATGATATCACGAAAAAAAACCCTTGCTTTAGCGTTCATCAAACCTACAACTCACCAGATTAATCTCATCCGATATATAGAGGCTAATGGCAAGAGGTTGTTAATCTGATGAGTTGTAGGTTTGATGAACGCTAAAGCACGGGTTTTTTTTCCTGATATCATAACACATAAGAGTTATATGCATTTCTTCAATATAATTCATATGCATATATGCTAATGTGTCGCCAATCGTGACATGTTGGTAGAGCGACCTCTTTGAAGATCGAAAGTCCCCTCAGGCCATGGGTTCAAATTCCCCTCTGGCCAGTTTGCCAGTAGTGAGGCGGTCCTCGAATAGTTTGGCACATGAGGGTGGTTGGGAACTTGTATAATAGTTTCCGACCATTTTTTATTTTATATATATATATATATATATATGTGGGTGTGTGTGTGTCGCCAGTCGTGTCCTGTTGGGAGACGTGTGTCTATTGATTGTGTAAAAGGGAAGCTAGAATCAAAGACATACTTTAAAAGGTGAAGGTATTTGTGGCCCAACTAGGTAAAAATTAGTTTTATAGTAATATAAGCACATATTCTGCAAGTTGTTGCTCATCATTTACATACATACCACCCAATCAACGTGTATTTACATATATAACACCTAAACTTTATCTTCCACCCACATCTTTCATATCAAATAAAAGAATACCACATTTTAACTTGTAAAAGGTGAAATACACATTTTCATGCATAGGTAAGGTGGTATGAAAAAGTTGAAGTTTAGTTGTTGGATATGTAAATGCATAGGGAATTGATTGGAATGTACGTAAATCTTCCTTTACAAAATTAACTCATGATTATGATGATCAAAGTGATTTTGATCATGAAGCAAATAACTAATATATGTAAGTACCCTAAAATATACAGAGCAATCTAAAAATGATACACTATACAAATAGAAAAACAAGAAGAAACAAGGCATTTTAAAATTAAATATACCGCCTATATCCTAATTTGCAAACTAGCCACTCTAGAATTAAGAAAAAGAGATGAGTTTGGCTAACTATACATACATTTCTGATGCGCCAGTTCTATCCGAAGGGTGCAAGGAGTTCACCGAAGGCCATAATGCCCTAGTTGCTTCAAGGTCGTCAAGGTCATTCAAGTCATCATCATCGTCGCCGTCATCATCATCTTTGTCATCATTATCACCATATGTATCAGCCTCACCGGCATTGCCAGTGAATGTGTCGCAACCATCCAACCTCACAAGAGTTTCGTCTCCACAAGTGTTGATTTCGTTATCAAAGCTTCGAAGATAAGCTTCGTCACTCTCATCCTTAAAAGAAATCATATAAGAAAAGAGTACAATTAACACAAAAACAAAATAGCCAAAGATAATTGAAAAAATGATGCTATAATGATACTACCATACTTTCAAGATTATTCTTAGTTATGATTTAGCTCACTTTTGAAGAAAAGCAATGAAATATAGCCTAAAACAAACAGAGAGGCAAGCAAAGTTCTGCCGAGATACATCACTTTATGAACAACTAGGTAACTTTAGAATCATAAATTAGAAACCACTAAATATACAAAAACTTGTTTTTTTAATAATGTTTTAGAACTCAAATGATTTTTTAATGGTTGAATAAATCGAAAAAACCATTGCGAATTCAAATCACGATTAATTTTAACTGATCGTAACAATTAGAATCTCAAATCTCAATTGTGTAAAATTCCAACATAATCAAGAACATTAGAAATCCAATAACTCCATAGTTTCCACAATTCTTATATTTTTACATATTTAACAGCTAAACTTTCCTATTTACAAGCATATCACTCAAATTTTTAACATCACATAAAAAATACCACTCTTACTAACTTTTTAAAATTGAAAGAAACATTTTCAGGCATAGGTTTATAACATCAAAGATTTATAAATGTAAATATCAAACTTTAAGGGTTAGATATGTAAATACATGAAAATTGCGAGATACGCATGTAAGCTTCCCTAAAAATCTATATAGAATTTAGAAAAAAGAAAGATTCGCCAAAAAATAAAAAAAATTCAGGCTTCATGCATTTACAAAAAATGACTCCCCAAAACTAGATTGCTGTACTTATACTGATAGAAGCAACAACATAAATTCGAATAGCATATATAATATTAATAATTACAAGAAATTCAATACAATAAAAAAAATTTAATTGCATGCCCCAGTATATATATATATATATATATATATACACACACACACACACAGACACACACACACACACTTATCATTCTTATGTTAGTGCAAAATCAGCCCAGATTAATTCCAAATAATCGTGTAGTTCAACTTTAATTTTATCTGAAACTTAAAGAAACATAAATTGAATCCGCAGCATACGATTTCTTTCTAACAAATTGAAGCCAACAGCCCTCCAATCCCGTACAGCCACATCACAATAAAGAGTAAACCAATAGGTAAAAATGCAGCCAACATTGTCCTAATAACATTGAAGCTCCTGATAGTGCCTATAATCCTATCTAGTCCCGACTCCCGAATCATTTTTTTTGGCTTGAAAATTTTTTTTTGAAGTTTTTTATATACCTCAATCTCTTCCCATTGGTGTTTAAAATAATGATCTGTCACATGTGTTTGATTCTGATTGGAGTATTTAGAGTGTCAACTCTCTACTAGATGAAATATTTCATCTTCTTTTTATTAAAAGGGACTCAAATTTGAAGAAAATCTAGAGTCACTCTTCTAATTTCACTATGTTTCGAGTTAAACGATCCAGATGAAATCATTGTATTTATTTTCTTGCTCTGTTGCAGCTTTCGTTTTTTTTTTTTTTGCTCTGGCGTTTTTAGTTCCAATCAGAATCAAACACATGTGACAAATCATTATTTTAAATACCAATGGGAAGAGATTAAGGTATATAAAAAACTTTAAAAAAATTTCTCAGCGATAATTTCAACACTAGGTGAAGTGATCAACACCAAAAGCTACCAGGGCTGGAAAGATCAACTAATTTCTACTAAAGAAAAATTGAACCTAGCACCAAATTTTGGGAGTGGATAGAAGAAGAGTGATCTTCCACCAAAAGGTGGAGAGTCCAGCTACTAAAATTGAAGAATTCTCAGCTCAGGATGAGCCTAGAAACAATAAAAAAAATTATGTTAAAAAATGTGGCAAAAAGAGCAATATGATAAAAAGTACTTTCCTTACTGGAAGACATTCAAAATAGGAGGATAAGATATTTTGATAAACTTTTCAATGAAGTTTATGAAAATACGATCGGCTTTAGTGATCTTAATATCGCTAATAATAATAAAACTTCATATTTTTATCGTCGCATTAGTAAAAAAAAAAAATTGGAGGCTTTAAAAAAGACCAATGGTGGAAAATCAGTAGGATATGATGATATCCCAATTGAAGTGTGGAAATATTTAGGAGATTTGGGTGTTCCTTGACTCACTAAACTTATTAATATTAGTTTAAAAACTTCAAAGAGTGAAGGAAGAGTATTTTGGATCCAAGGGGACGCACAACTATGTAAAAATTATAGATGAATTAAGTTAATGTGTCATACATTAAAAGTATGTGAGAGAGTAATTAAACATAGGTCAAGACGTGATATAAAGATTTTTCATAATCAATTTGAATTTATGTCGGGCAAGTCTACTATGGAGGTTATACATTTATTGAGAGATTTGATGGAGAAGCACAGAGAGTAAGGAGGATCTACTTATGATTTTTATTGATTTAAAAAAGACTTATGATAAGGTTCCAAGAAAAGTTATTGGAGAGTTCTAGAAAAGAAAAAGTGTTTATATGACTTATATTCAAGTCATTAAAAATATACATACTTAAGTTATTACTTGTGTTTGAACAGAAGGATTGATCAAGCGTTTTCAATATTGGTTGGATTACATCAGGGATCAGCTTTAAGCCCATATCTTTTTTGCTTTGGTTATGGATGCTCTTATTGGAGATATACACGAGGATGCACCATGGTGTATGTTTTTCGTTAATGATATCCTTCTTGTCATTAAAAAGACTAGAGAAAGAGTTTAGGAAAAAACTTAAATTATGGAAGTCTGCATTGGAGTCTAAAGGCCTTCCTTTGCGTGGATCTAAAACAGAATACATAGAACGTAATTTTAGTAGTGGTAGATCTAGTGACAAAGTTGAAACAATGGGGTATCAAATCATTAAAAGGCGTGGACGTTTTAGATATCTGAAGTTTATTTTTCAAGGTAATGGAGATATAGATGGGGTTATTACTAGTAGAATTCAAGTTCATTGGGTGAAGTGGAGTGCATCGAACTTAAAGTGTTAGAAAAGTACCGCTCAGAATTAAAGGAAATTTTTATAAGATGGTGGTGAGACTTGTAATAATTTATGGCGCGGAATGTTGGCCTTCAAAAAAAAGCATAAAACTAACTATTGTTGAGATGAGAATGCTTTGGTGGATGAGTAGCTTGACACTTAAGAGACAAAATGAGAAACAAATGTAGTCATGAAAGGGTTCGTGTAGCTCCAGAGGCGAACAAGATAAGAGAAAGTTGTCTTAGGTGGTTTGGTCACATTAAATATTGATAATCTGATGATCTGGTTAGGAGAGTTGATGTTTTAGACTCGACTTATGTTAGGAAAGGCAAAGGAAGACCTAAAAAGACTTGGTCATATTGTAGAAAAAATAATCTTAATTTATTAGAATCAAAATAAAAATAGGACATTCAATAGGACACGATGGAGAAAAAAATCCATGTAGCTAACCCTAGTTAGTGTGATAAAGGCTTATTGTTGTTGTTGTCGCCGTTTTTGTCTATCACTAACAACTTAATATTCAAATATTTATTGAAAGAATAATGAGGGGCTCTGGTAGGGAATCAATTCAGTAGAAGATTGATTGCCCAAACCAGGGACAAGAATAAGGTCACCCCCCCCCCCCAAAAAAAAAAGAAAATTTTTCTTCCAGTTTCATTTTCGACACTTTGCTTATTTTTACTCCCCTTCCTTATCTATGACTCTCCTATTTTGATTCTTGTCAATTCTATGTCCTTCATTTTTTATCATTTCCCTATTTTACTCCTTGTTTTTTTTTATTTAGTAATCCCCAATATCTATCTATCTATATATATATATATATGATGATTCCAAAAAATAAAATACGAAAAAATACATGAGAGCCCAAAAACCAAAAGTGTCAAAACATGTAGTATCAGGTAGCTAGAGAGCAACTGCTTTGCCTTGCCTTCGCCTCTGCCTCTAATCCTAGGAAAGGAGTCAGCGAACAAATTGGTAAGATGAGTATCATTGTCAGTAGTAACTATTGTATCGTCCAATAAGTTCCTGAGATCGAGCAGCCTCCATTCTTCTTCTTCCTCCTATAATTGACATGTCATTCCTCATCCGAAGACTGACCCATTCATTTAATATATATATATATATATATATTAGATTTATAAGGACAAGCTGTTAATATTTATTATTTGTTTTTATTCTCTCATTACACATTTCCTACTTTGCTTTATTCTATTTTATTTTCTTTCCAAGCTATTTTATTTCTTTCCTTTATTATGCCTATTGTAATTGGATTTAAATATCCCTCCAATCAATAATATTGAGCTGCTCTATTTCAAAATTCAGCATGACATTAAAGCAAGGTTCTAACCCTAGAACCCAGCCACTAAATGCCTCTGAAGCAACCGCTGTCCTTCCCGCAAAGAGCCCGAGCCGTCAACCCTTATGGTTGCTCTCTTACAGCTGCTAGCCTCCTCTGACTTTCTTCTACAGTTGACGACTTCCTTCATGAAGGGACGGATCTCCTCAACAACAACCTTCCCAAATTGTCCATGAAGCATTCTTGCCCTTTCTTCTGAGGCGGCAGTGATGGTGTAACGGGAGTGATCTCCTCTGAAGACTTGAAGTGCTACAAATCGAGAGAGTTCAATAACGAAGGTTTCATGCCAAAGTTTCATCTTTCCTGCAGCCTTCTTACAAACTCCCTGCATCTTTCTTGCAGCTTTCCTGATGCCTTCCTACAGTTTTGGGTCAGTCAGTGACTTGCAAATCTATCAATGTCTCGAAATCCCAACCACATTTCTTTTGGCTCGGTCGAAATCATCTTGAATCGTGCTCAGTCGTCATGCTTGACACCTTGGACAGGTCACTTCACTTGTTTTATTGCCACAAACTCAACCACACTCGGGAAAAGTGTTTGAAACTTCACTTTAAACCAACATACAAACCTTCGGCCAAATCCATTGCTACCAAGGGCCTCACGGTAACATTTGAATCTACTACGGTTCAATCAACTCCTACCTGAAAAATTCTG